CCCCAGTCACACGAGCCTCTGGAAGCCAAGATCCACGGGGCCGAGTCGACTACGGCTGCCAAGTGGCCCATCGAGGAGCATCGACACTTCCCTCATTCGGCCGAGGGAGAGGAGGGGGGGGAGGCAGGACGAGAACCGCTGCCGTTGATTGCATGGTGCCCCCTCCGCGCTCACAATGTGGCTGGGCGTTTGGCAAGGTAGACGACCACGCGCGTGCACCCCCCTCGTCCTGCCTTGCCTGGCGTATGTGGGCGCGGGTGGTCCGGCCGGGGAAAAAACTCCACAGGTACCAGTGCGAAGTGTTAAGCGCGACACCTAGCAGAGGTGCTGGCCCCCATGGCCGCATACGCCGCCCTGCAGCGGGAGGGGCACAACCACTCATGGGCCCCGAGCGGAGGCTCGCATGTGGGCGCCGGCCGCCCGGGACGCGCGGTTCGCGCGTCCCCTTTGGTCGATGAGCTCGCGGCGGCTTGCGCCCACTCGCCCCACGTTCCTCACCCCGCATTGTCCGCCGCGCCCCCCCCCCCCCCCCCCCCCGGGGAGGGGGCCGGCTATAGCGCGGCGGGGTAGCACATGGCTGGGAGCCGGGACGGGACTCGGCCGCATGTTGAATTAATTCATCGAGGTCCACCAGAGAGCATACCAGGGACCTGGAGGGCCCCCACTCGCCTGCCCATCTACCGCCGGCCCCCGGCCGATGCCAGGGGTGCCTGCCCAGCCGGGACACCCATGGACGGCCGTCGCTGCCAGCGCGAGAGGGGGGGGGGGCGAGGTGCTTCTCCTGAAATAGGGGCACGCAGGTCCACCGACGCGCTCCCAGCAGGGCCGGGCCCGGCCCGGATCTCGAGGAGGAAGTAAGCCCTGGGCGCGGGGACATTCTCCCCGGAGGGAACAGGTCGCAAGTAAGACGCCGCCCGCCCCCCTGTGCGCGGCGGCGCCTCGCGCGGCGGCAGGCCACCGCAGCCAGGGGGTGTTCCAGCGGGGAGGGGGTCGTCCTCTCCCCCTCGCATGGGGGTCATGGAAAAACCCCTCAGAACAGGGGCAGCCCACGACCGACCATAAGCATATCCATCGGTCCCCGGAAGCAGGCGAGTCAGCAGTGGGACCATTCAAAAACGCGAGAGAGGCAGAGAGACAGAGAGAGAGAGAGAGAGA